AGGCGGGGGTGGAGATGCGTCGTCGGCGTGGTGGGGAGGGGGGGCCATGGCGGTGGGGCGTAGGTGGGGAGGGCGTGGCCGGGTGATAGTGCGTGTCAGTGTGGTGGTGCGTAGTAAGTGCGTGGCGGGCGTGGCCGAGAGTGGTGGGGAGGGGCGGTGGTGATGGTGCATAGTAGGGCGTGGTGTGATTGGCGGGGCGTGGTGGTGAGCGGTAGTGCGTGGGCTTGTGTTGTGGGGGAGATGGTGCAGGCTGTCAGTGGGCATAGCGGAGCCGATGGTGCGTGTCAGGCGTGTCGTGTGAGTGGTATGCGTGACGGGGCGTGGCCGAGTGGTGGAAAGGGCGGGGTGTGGGTGGTGATGGTGCATAGTAGGGCGTGGTGGGTGAGTGGCTGCGTGGCGGGTGTAGAGTGGCATGGCGGGAGCCGATGGTGCGTGGCGAGGCGGACGGGGCCGGGGTGTGTGGGGTGGGCGGTGGGGGTGGCGAGGGGGTGGCGATTTTGGTTTGTTGTGAATGCGCCGCTGGGACCGTCGTCATAGCGGCCCATTCATCTGCCAGGCGGTGCGGCGCTGAGTTGTTTTGTTGAGCGAACGCGCGACGGCGCGTCGCCCGCTTTGCATGCCTTCGCGAGTGCCATGATTCCACATGTCGCTTGCTGTTTCGCTTCGGAGGAGCGACCCGATGAAGGGGAGGGTGGGGCGACTATGGCTTCGCTGCTGTTGTGGAAGCTGTTTGCTCATTAGATTGGGGAAAACAAGTGAGGCGACGGAAGAGACTGTCGCGTGGGTGCTTGGCGCAAGAACGTCTGCAGGATAATGACAGTATACAGATACCGTATTGTGTTTCCGCGTTGAATTCAGAGGTTCTCAGAATTATGCAAAACCTGAATCGAATTAATTATTTTGCTAAGCTTGATTCACAACAATACCAGAGGTAATTTTAATTTTTTGTTTGTATTATATGTAGTTAATGCCTCCTCCAAATCTCCATAAATTCAAGACAAATTATCTTAATATTTATGCATTTCTTTTCAAAGTAAGTCCTAACTAGTTTTAAGGAAATTAATAAGAAACATACATTTAAAACTTTCATTTATGGGATTAGACTTTCATGAAAGTTTTAACATATGGTTTAATTAAATTGGCCGGAACATACAGATTTCGTCTAATTGGCTAATAGAATGGTACCAAAGTGTCTGAATTTGTTTTAAGATTCTCTCAATTTTACAGTAGAATTTCAAGAAAGATATGTTACCTATAAATACACTAGTTATCTCCTGAGATGAGTAATGTAAAGATCAACTGACACTATCCACACTACCAATGATTCACGGTCCATAATCAAATAATATATTTTGTGGGAGAGATATTTAAATGATTTATCTGATGGAAAAATAGTTAATATTATTTAGGGAATATAGAAAAATGTAACATTTGACGATCTTCTAACACTCCTTTGGTATTGAAATCAATGTATCACTATATAAACATATAAGAGGGATGTACGTGTGTGTCACCCCAAAGAACCAAAAACTACTTAACAACTTCGGCTAAAATTTCACACTTCGTTCTTAGTAACTAATGGGAATGTTAAAAGAGTGGTTTAAATTAAATCGTACATGTGGGAATGTGACCGATAACATACTCGTTTATGCGACTGAAGAGATCTTAACACTAGCAGACCCGCCAAAAAGACAAGTAAGCGCGTATACAAGTATTCTGTCCCTGCGATTGTAAAATATCGGCCGGGAATTGTTACTTTGAAACTCGGACAAGTAAATCAATTTCTCCAAGATAGTGCATAGCCTAAATTAGTTTAGATACGCATACTTAATTTGGTGAAAACGTTTTAACAATAGGATGCTTCACAATCATGACCAAACCAGGAACAATAGAACAAATCCATACTTGTGTAGAATGTGTTTCAGTATTGGAAGTTTGCACAGTTTTGCGTAATACGTGATTTACGTGACCAGTAGTATATTACATTGGTCAGTAAATAATGTGTAGTCACGCAATAGCAAAACGTGCGCTGGTTGGCTAGTATGAATAATAAAATTACATTACATATATTATGTTTCTGTTTTAGTTAATTGTTATTAATGATGAGTGGGAAAAACAGATTTCTACTAAGGAATAATAGATTTTTTCTTAATATTTGGGCTTGTGGCTTATTTCAGACACATGAATTTAGTGACCGCGATATAAAAATTCATTTTTAAATTCGTATCATCCGCGAGGTTGACGATATTTGATCAGTGGTAACTCATTAATGACGTGAGGGCGGCTGGCAGTCCTCTCGCGCCTTCGACGCATGCGGAAGGGTAGACGAGCGCTGGGCCATGAGGGGGGGGGGGAGTCTTCTGACGCTTGGCACGTCCGGAGCGACGAGCTCGCTCGTTAGCGCTCTCGTTAGCGCCCGCTGCCGGAAAAGCTCACGCGCCGCGCCCCCGCGGCGCAGTGACGAAGCGACGAACTACTCCAACTTCCTCGTCCCGTCTTCCTCCAAATTGCTTGTTTCTCTTCTCTTTTAATTATTATTATTATTATTATTATTATTATTATTATTATTTTATTATTATTATTAATTATGGCGTTTCGGCGCATTACTTACCCGCTACACGATAACGTGTATAATTCTTCCAGGATGACTTTATCCTTGGATTACTACAAGTTGTTACGCCTTGTAGTGTGAATTATAATGATAGTTGATGCTAGGTGAAGGAATATCAGAAATACGACCATGTTACGCAGGACTCGAACTGCAGCTCCTCGGCACAGACATGGCTATCGCAACGTCTGCGCACGGGCGGCTAATTATTATTATTATTATATTATTATTATTATTATTATTATTATTATATTATTATATATTATTATTATTATTCTCGTTCTCTTGCACCAATGTTCACCTCAGGATCCCTGCAACTACGATTGTCGTTAGAAGCTATAAGAAATAAATGAGGGCGCATAATTGTGAAGTGGGGTGGAGAGGAAAGCTGGAATATGGGCGAGGAATGGACGGACTTCGGAAAATATTTTATTCACCTCGCTACAAATTTCACATGGATTGGTCGGGGAGAGAACCTAAGTCCCAGCTGCAATGGAGGGGTATGCGCTAGTCATATAAGCTAGGAGCTTATTTATCATGCACCTCGCCCATCGTCTCGTTTTTGTTTTCCTTACCCACTTTCAACTATTTCTTCTTGTTTCCTTCTTCCTTCGTTCCGCTTATTTTCTTTCTTTTTCTTCTGCTTCTATTTGTCCTATTTTTTCCACAATCATTTTCCCGACAGGGAAGTTGGCAGCTTGTGTCAGTGAACTGGAGTTCACTTCAGCCTCATTCAGCAATGGCGACAATAATTAATGCTATTTACAAGATGAAATTGTATTTATACGTAAATGACTTTGCCTTCCACGTTGTATCTTTCAAATTAAACATCACAGCGACCGACGACAATCCAGTCGTCTGCATTAATTAGGTAACAATAGACTTTAAAAAGTTTAATATCCCTATGCTGAGTGATGACAGTGAAATAGCTGTTCCATAGACCGTCTGGAAAACAAATTTCAAAAGGAGTATTAAACGCGTGTGTTATGTTAACTACCCTTTTGACTTCAATCTTCGCCATTTTTGATGGTTTGGATCGCAGCCCTTTTGAGTCAAGGACACGGAAGTTTAGGAGTATCGCAGAGTATATATCCGGATTATTTTTTCACAACTCGTATGGGTTTTAAAAGACTCTGTTCTTTATTATTACTATATAAAAAAGTAGAATACATAATACCCTGTTTAATTATGAAGTGAAAGAGTGAAAACAATAAATGCATTTCCAAAAAACGTTTAAAATGAAACTTGATGGTCTGGTTAACATCTGCATTACATGTAAATGTTTCAAGTTTCTTTCTCTACGCGTCAACACGATAGCCTTATCTTCTAGACAGCCTTTTATAGATCGTTCAACAATGGGATCACGCCTATTCCAACTTGTGTTCTTGTGTCGTAGGCAACTCGAAAAAGGGATTGACTCTTAGCTATCACGGTTCCTATCAGTCGCGCTGGTATGATTAACAAAGAAAGTTTGTTGTGTAGCAGAGAATAGAGAAGGCACGTTCGCGCAGACGACTTGAAGGATCTACAGAGACGAATCTAATCAAGCGCGACTTGAACGTCACTGTGGATTGATTCTTTGACGGAGTAACGTTTCGGCAGAGTACACAGTTATCTCGGGTCGACACGCCAGCGGCAACGCGTCATTAGCAGCAAGTTTGGCGTCCTGCTTGTTACTTCATAGCAGTGCATAGTTAGAGAGACAGATGGGCGAGCCCAAGTTTTGTTGCGAAAGCCATCAATTGTAACTTCCGTTAAGAGACTTATAGGCGTCCTCCGCCTGCTGTTTACTTCCGCACGATCTACAAATAGGTCACGGAAACTCGGGGCGGTCCCCGCGCACTCCAGTTTGCGCTCACACACTCGCTCCCATTCTTCGAGCCTTGCCTTCTGTTTTCTTTTTTTCATTTTCTTTTCTCTTCACTCTCCAGTTAATCATCTTTGTATTTTTTCATTCTTTCCTCCTCATTTATTTTTTGTCTTATCTTCCTGCTTTCTCTTCCTTTCTATTTCGTCTTCATTCCTGCTTTCTCTTGTTTCTCTTCTGCTTGGTCTTATTTTGCAGGTGTGCCTTGGCTTATTCTCCCTGAATTTCTTCTCTTTTTCATTTCTTTTCTCTTCTTCTTTTCTCTTTTCTTCTTCATTTCCTATTTCTCTTTCTTTACCTCTTTCCTCTTCTCTTTTTTTTCGTTCTTTCGTCTTTTTTCTTCACTTTTCCTCCCTTCTTTTCTACATCACTTTTCTTCCTATGCGCTCTCTCTCTTCTTTTTAAGAAAATTAACCATTCATCTGCCAAGGCGGTGCGGCCGCTGAGTTGTTTGTTGACGCGAACGCGCGACGGCGCGTCGCCCGCTTTGCATGCCGTTCCGAGTGCCATGATTCCACATGTCGCCTTGCTCTTCCGCTTCGGAGGAGCGACGCGATGAAGGGGAGGGTGGGGCGACTATGGCTTCGCTGCTGTTGTGGAAGCTGTTTGCTCATTAGATTGGGAAAACAAGTGAGGCGACGGAAAGAGACTGTCGCGTGGGTGCTTGGCGCAAGAACGTCTGCAGGATAATGACAGTACTACAGATACCGTATTGTGTTTCCGCGTTGAATTCAGAGGTTCTCAGAATTATGCAAAACCTCGAATCGAATTAATTATTTGCTTAAGCTTGATTCACAACAATACCAAGAGTAATTTTAATTTTTGTTTGTATTATATGTAGTTAATGCTCTCCAAAATCTCCATAAATTCAAGACAAAATTATCTTAATATTTATGCATTTCTTTTCAAAGTAAGTCCTAACTCAGTTTTAAAGGAAATTAATAAGAAAACATACATTTAAAACTTTCATTTATGGGATT